TTCCTTTTCTTAAACTTGTACTCTCCACATGAGAAGCTCTCAATCACGAATCTTTAGATTAACTTACATTTTTTTTTTTTTTTGGAAACTTTACATTAACTTACATTAATCAATGACAATCTCCGTTATATAAATTTTTACTTTCCAATTTAACAAAAAGGTTAGGCTGCTGTTAAAGTTGGCGCTTCTTAATTATTCATTTGTCTTAGTAGCGTATGAACATGAAATTATATAAATTTTATTTGAGTTTGATGTTTTTCATATCTAGAAGATAATTTTTATCTCCTACACGGTTCATGTGGAGTAATGTCAAAAAAAGAAAGAAAGAAAAAATATGGGGTTACATATTTTTATATGTATATATGAGATAATTTTATCTCCAATAACATAAATATTAAACCCATTTTATTTATCTGCTTGAGCAACATGTAGATATAGATCAACATCAATCATTCATTTAAGAGTAAAACATCCATTTTAGTTATATAAAGATATAACTGCAATTACACAATGAGTGTAACTTAATTGGCAACACAAGTTAAGTAAGTGAAGAGAAATTTTTTCAATTCCCACCAAATACAACTTTGGGGAGGGGCGATCTTTAATTGTGATTAAGTCCCGATTTCGGATTAGTTTCTTAGCCTGTTCAAAGAATTTAAGCTTTTTGAGATATTTCGAGAGCCAATTCGTCTTAAAAAGATAATTAAGATTAGTAAAAAAGAAAGATATAACTGCAATTATTTTGGCCGACTAATTTTGTTCTTCATATTTAGTATTTAATAATGAAAAATAATTCATTAAAACATTAACATCAATTTTTTTTTTCTTAACCATTAAAAATACCACAAATTAAGTAACTTTATCATAGAAAATTAACTCTTTCCTTAACAGAAAGATAACTTCAATGTCATTTTTTTCATAAAGACTAAATTAACTTAAAAAAATTATTAAATGGCCAAAATAAAGGACTGAAAAAGAGTAATTTAGTCATTGGGTTTGCAACTTCTCATATTACATGAGAAATTGAAACTTTCCTTAGAGAGAAAGGGGTGGAGCCATCTTGAAGAAAAAATAGAAAAATAAACTTCTCCAATTGCAAAAGAATTCTTTTTTCTCTTATATAATAATAACTTTTCAGCCAATAAACATATGGATTACCTGATAAGGGATTATTCTAACTTAATTGTGATATTTAAGTTGAGTGTTCAGAACACAAATGTGTTAAAACTTAATATAAGCAGAATTTTGCTGCTCATGTGATTCTACTCGGCACGATTTGAACTTGTTGAATAAGCGATGATGGATAATATCAAAAACAATAATAACAATAACTTTTGAAAAATAAAGATGAAACATTAAAGTTATGCATCCGACTCATTCCAAAAAGCTAGACAACAATATTAGCAGTCAAGATGGTGTTGATGGATGTATATATTATACTAGCTAGCTATTTCACTATTTGTTTATTAATTGATGATCCCATTAAACATGTGGGCAACCCAATACTCAATCCTTGTAAGAAGAGAGAATCTTATCTTGCCAACACCAATCTGATCCGTTACTGGTGTGGCTTGGCTTTCTTAACTTATCTTCTTTGGTGATATGTGAAATCTGAGAAATTTTTGGTTGCTTCTCTGGCTGAAAAAGAATAATTGCCCTATATAATTTGATGTGTCTCTTCTCAACTATATAATATTGTAGTTAAAGTGAAAAATAATAATAATTCATCTAATTAAAATAATAATCATAAATAATATAGAACATGATAAAGAAAATATTGAAAATGAGTAGAAACCAAATCTTGTCGTTATAATGCAGTTCCGAATGACATTTCAGTCCCATGTTAAGTGCTGCAAACTGCAAATTCAGAACAAAAAGTAAACCCAACCAAAAGAGAAAAAACAAAACTTGTGTAGCTACACGCAAATGATAATAGAAAGCATGATTTAACACGAATCCAAATTAATAATGCTTTGGATATATGCTCCATCAAAAACTTCCAGCTGAGAAAACACATTTGTTTTAAGTGGGAAACACAAACACCTGTCTAGATATATATATTACTTTAGCTACTACACCAAATTTTATATCGAATATATAATGTTGCTGTAACAACTACTACAACTCATTTCAAGTAAAAATAGTAGCAAAATTTATATTTATGCCATTCATTTATTAATTATTCGACTAATTCAATTCAGGTCGAGCAGAACTATAAGAGCGGTTGTTGCCTTGCTAATAGTTATGCAAGTATACGCGACAACAAGTAATACAGGACGTATTTGAGACCCTTTTATCGTTCCCACAAGGATCTTTGGCGTGTGTAACTTGACAAAACTTTGTAATTGCTAAAACTGAATTTAATCTAAAAATGCGGTAACAATAAAAAGAAACAGAATAATCTCAAAACCTGAGTTAAAATGCTACTGACAAGTGACACTAAGTACTTTTTTTTTTTTTTTTATATATTTTCAGATTTGATTTCTTGAACTGAAGATTGGAAAGTGGACAGAAAGCAAATTAAACATTTGATTGAAAAAGATTTTTTATATAAAGAAATTAGTAAAAACAGAATTAGAAGTGAGATATTGAAAATCAAATGAAAATAAATCTGAGTTGTTGAAAAATAAGTTGTAAAAAATAGGTTGATTTCGGTTACCCTTCCCAACAACCACTGAATGAATGCTAAGTACATATTATTAAAATTTAACTACCAGGTAATGGATCTTTTCTTATTGATTTTAATCTCTTAAAATCGTTATGCCTTAAACAACATCTGCATATCTCTATGCTAAATGGAGCGCAGACTCAGATGATTCCAGTCCAAAAATTACATGGTGGTTGTCCTCATCTATGAGTGACAGCCGTCTCACAATCAAGTCCATGTGTTTAATACATGTCCAGATTTAGTCATCTCTCAATGACTAATTCCTAAAATAATATCTACTATCAGGCCTTAATAACAGATTTAAATGCAATCACAGTATTAAACAACAGGGAATCAAATTCTAACAAACGCAATTAGCAAAACATCCAAACTGTGGTTCAGGTATCTACACCCAACCTTGTGTAAATTAGCTCATACCCATAAAGGTTGAGCTGCAAACAACAACTGAAATTAAAACGTACATAATTTTAGAAAGCAGAAAAATAAATGTACATAACCAATCCTAATCACCGGAATATGCTTAGTGCTGTACCAACATGCTTAAAGCTTAACAGAAAAAATAAATTCAATACAGTACCAGAAACTTCAAGAAAATAAAAACTAAAAATATCCAGAAGGAATAGAAAAATAAAAACAAGAACCGAAGAAGACCCTAGACTCACTCATTTCTCTTCTTTTATAGGTCTCCTTCTTTTCTTTGCACGATCTTCTGATTCACACCTCAACAGGCACCCACGCGCTCCTTCCAGCCGTGCGATTCCTTTGCAAAGATCACAATCGCACTCCCACAATCCTGCTAGCACTCCTAACAAACTCCAGCTCACCCACTCAGTTTTGGCATTTTCTGTATCAAGCAAAAAATGGTTAGGGTTCACTGTTTTTGGTTTGATCGTTAATGAACCGTGTTTGAGGACTAAAGGATGGTTTGACCGGCATCAAGGAACGGTCTGGTTTTCTTGGTTTGATTTGTAGCAGGGAATTAGGATGGATGGTGTGGATTTGCAGTTGACTGGAGGTGGGTTATTTTTGCAGGTGTGTGCTAGAGTTTTTCTCTTCTCAGCCTTTGCTTCACGTTTCTGATTCTGTCTTTTTCTTCCTATCACTTTCTTTCTTTGCTTTTCCTTCACTTGGGCTTTTGATCAAAAGTCCAGCCCATTTGTTTCTGTCTTTCTTTTTCATTTGGCTTCTCTTCACTTGGGCTTCTCTGATTTGATTTGCTTGGCCCATTTCTTGTTCTCCTTTCTTTTATTTCTTCTCTTCTTTCTTTCTTGGACTCTTTTGATTCAACCCAATTCTTTGCCTTCTTTTCTTTCTTTCTTTGATTTGGGTTTCTCTGATTTAGAAGATAGAAAATGGGTCTGGAAATAAAAATGAAATCCATTAGTACTCAAGCCCATTATATTTCAACTCTAATAATTTGGGGTGCCTTTTACACAAACAGTATATATTCTTTCACATTTTCACCATTAAAACCATATGTTTCAAGTCTATTTCATAGACTTATCAGTGGATGGTTAACCCATTTTTCTTTAAAATAGGATACGAGATAAGTTATTAGGTGATTTCACTTTAGGGTTACAATTATAAATTTCAGTTCTCCTTTATAGATTAATAAGTAAAACTCATATCGCTTACTCAAATGGTTACAAACATTAGTTTGACGGGTAGACCCCAATGGAACAGGGGTTAGAACTTGGAGAAAATCTTGTTAAAAACATATAATTTCGGTGGTGATATTCTAATTCATCATCTAATGTGTCACATGCATAAAGCACAATGAGAATATAAGGAACGTTTACACGACAATTTTTTTTCTATATCTTGCAATATATAAGTCCAAACCCACCATTCATTTTTTTTTTTTTGACACTTCCTCTGTTGGCAGAAAAGAATATTGTGTCTATCTTTATTCTTTGTACATCTATTTTTTTTTTTTTTTTTTTTTTGTAATAACTTTGTACATCTATTTGGTTTATACATTTTTAGAACTCTTATGAAATAAGGAAAATTTCACATTACTCATAAAGCAAAGTAGACAGGGACATCAAAAACAAATACTGCAATAATTTTTTTTCTAGGTTAATTTTTTTTTTGTTATAAACCACAAATATCTTTCACGAATGCAATCTTGTTCGGAGATTCAGGATTAAGACTTTAAATTCCTTTTAAAAATAATATTGAAAAAGATCAAACTCATGCTCTTACCTCCACCTATTCAACCACCCATTCGAGTGTTGAATCAAGTCACTCTTTAATCAAATCTTCATCAATAACAATGCCTTAACTTTAGTTGATGATCATGACATCAAATTATGAACTAAATTCAACCAGCTAAATTTCAATAAAGACTATAAGAAGGGACGGTTATGTACACAAGGGACACATGTAAACAATAAACTGTTTACACAATTCACTGACACAGAGAAATCTTAAACTAAAAAAATGCATGATTGAAGGGATAATAACACTAATACTGTCTGAATGTAAGATTGAGGCGTCCTGGACAAAGATTAGAATCTCTAAGCAATTCTTTGGGAGCTGAATTTGGTATGATTGAAGACACACCATGGAAGACACGTCGAGATTCACCACCAAATATCAACACATCTCCTGATTCTAAAAGTACATTCTCTGCATTCTCAACATCCCTCTGATCCCCATAACGAAATTCTGCTGAATCACCAATTGAGAAGGACACAACAGGCAACCCTTTTCGGATACTTTCTCTGCTTTCATCACGATCCTGCATCAAGTAATTTAAAGATGGAAGCATAAGAAGTTTATCAACCCTTCTTATTAAACCAACAATGGCTAACAACAAAATGGACGAGATAAACATCTCAAACAAAAACTATATATTGCTAATGCAAAATCATGAAGGACTCTCAATGAAGCATAAATTCATGCCAAACTTATAAAATACTAGCTTAATGCTTCCAGTACTAGAAATTTGCAAATACATCAATATGGGGCAGAGTCCTTATCGAGGACTATTGTAATCGGTCAGACTTGCTTATTAAATTCAAGTTATGAACCATAAATTAATCAAACTCTCTTAATCTTAAAGTTATCTCCAAAAAGTCTAGCATAAAGATTCCAACCGAAAGTTTCAAAAGGAATGTCACAGGTGAAAAATATGAATGTTGTAAGAGAATATTAGACAAACACCAATGATTACTGTGTTTATTATCATCAGATACTCGGTCCCAAATCCATTATCAAATTCGTTTACTTCTAATTTTCCCCCATTTTTCTCCATATCCTCTTCTATTTATTTATTTTTCTTTTCAATTTTCTGGTAATAAGTCAACAATATCCAAATATTTCACTAGAACATATGAAGAAATGCAAAGCAGCAAGGTGGTGAAACAAGTACATGAGCTGACCTGATGAAGACCAAGCCTTCCAGTGTTTGAATAAAAATTGACTATGCATATATCAGGATTCATTGAAGGGAGTATCTCCTCCACACAGTTTACTCCACATTCCTTATTGATTAGATAGTGTGCTTCTTGCATTGCTCTTATAACCAACTTACTGAAGTTATGGGGAATACTAGGTGGCTCACAACCATCAATTACCCGTTTCTTTCCATATTTCCTGGTTTGAGGATCCCAGTCCAGACCAAGACACATCATCTTCAATCGAAGTTTCGCTCCACCTGCATAACCTGGTTGATAGAATCCTCCAGGACCTAGACCAAGCTTACGGCAACTTTTAACTATTTCAACCTGAAATTATTAGATTAGAACAAATATGGTCAAAGAATTAAACTTACAATATATGAATAAACAATTTTCAAACAAATACAGAGAATTTGTGGTGCAACATTCAGGATACATTGGGGTAAACTTATATGAATACAATGCATTACAAATGACAGAAATCCAACAATAGGCTATCATTATACTAAGGGTATGCTAATTCTTAAAAATGTCTCCACCTAAAGTCTTAGTATTTAGTGAAATGTTCACCATAAAGTGCAATTTCTACTTTTGCAATATAATGACATTTTAAAATATCAAAGAGAAAAAGTAGCATGCATAATGATGTATACAAAAGCCAAGTAAGTACCTGTTCATCATGGGTTATATATTGTTTCAAGAGAACCATCCCAGGCCTCAGTATCCTATCTTTTGTCCTTCCCTCCAGTGGCTCAATGCAGCTTTCCTTGTTTTTCTCAAGCAGTGTAGCTCGTATTGAAGCAGAATTTCTTTTTCCACAAAAGCATATGTCATATGGTTCAAACTTAGGCAAAACTGAAGAATCAAACTTGTGATCAGTTTCGACATGGCTTGAATTTCTGCGGCTATTATTTGGTCCATTGGAAGATGCAGCCTTCTCCTTCCAAAATTTACTATGTTGAACATGGTGGCTAGTAGAGTTAGTTGTTGACAATGTCTCGGCAAGAGATAAGCTATTATTTTCAAAATTGGAGCTATTACTAGATTCAGTACAGTTATCACCATTGACCTGGGCCAATCCTAAGTGAACTCGAGTTCTCTTTTTGAACTTTCTGTGCTCAGGGTGTTTGCCATTAGATGGCTTGCATTTAGTTGACGAAGGGAGTGAATTATGCTTCATATTCTTATAATGCAGCGGTACAGGAATTCTTCCCACCATTATATATGCATCATTGTCATGAGAAGCATCAGATAATGGCCCATTAAGCATAACCTGCTTTTGAATCATGGAAATTGAAATAAGCAAAAGTAAACAGTTATTGGTAGGTATAATCTTTAATGTCGCACAGAAAGTATAAATACAAGTATTATTGAATCCTGCAAGCAAGAACCAAATTAAGGAAAAATACACACTCACATTAGAACTTATAAGCAAAAATTTATATCAAATACACACAAACTAACAAATGTTTCTGCATTTTTTCCTATGTGACTTGAACTGAGATCTGAGGCACACATAGGAAAGGCCTAAGAACATAGCTAAATAGAAACAATCTGAAACGCTGCTAAAGGACATTCAATAACTAAATTCACAATTCCATTATAAAAAGGAAGAATGAATAGTATTGTTGCTCAACGCTCACTTGCTTACACAAACACAAACATATTAGTACCCAAAAAGAAAAAGAGAACATGAACAACTAAATTTCCCATAATAAAATAAGCCAATAAAGCCTCACTTGTCATGTCACTTAAGAATGACAAAAAACTTGAATATAAAATTTCATTAGTAAGAAGAGTTGCCTCTGCTACCAAAATCAAAGAATGATACCAAAAAAGACCCTGAATTTGAAAAAAAAAAAAAAAAATTAAAAAGCACACACAAAATAGTTAACTATGATCAATGATTGGAAACTCAGAGAAAGTACAACATAAAACAGTCAAAGAATAAGTAAAGCTGGAGTCTAATCCTAATCAAAAACTGAAACCAAATGTTAACCAAATCCTACAATAAGGCCTTTTCACTGTATTGATGTAAAAAGCAAAACTTTTTATCGAATTCAAAGTTCAAATGTTTTATCAAGATAATGCCGCGAGACATGCGAGGTGTGTGCAAGTAGTGCATGGAATGTGCGAAGTAATACATTACACGTGTAAGTTGCGAGTCTCTTCCGTACAAACACTTTGTTTTGATCAAATATTTAGATCTTAAATAAAAAGGATAATTATATTGATAAACTTTTCTTTTTACAAACTTACGAACTATATCTTATCGGTATGACTTCACTCAAGAGTGTCTCACAGATAAACAAAAAATTTATAAATATAAACTTCCCCTTAAACAAATGCGGTAACTAATTTCTCTTTTTTCCTATCAAATGGGTAAAAAAACAGCCCGGATATAACCCTGTTATGAAAAATAAAATAAGAATAAAGAGAAAACTTTATAAATGTCTCTAATATTTTTCTTTAAATAAAAAAATCCCTAACTTTTTTTAATCAATAATGCTCTTTGTTTGAGAAACTCTAATATTTAAAAAAAAAAAAATATATGAGCACTTTTTTAATAATATTAGAAAAAAATATTTATCCATTATTTTAGTTAAAACTACTGTATTTTTATTTAAAATTTAAATTAAAAAAATTACTCCTTTTTTTCTACATGGTTTTTATTCGCTTACTTAAATTAACACAATTCTATATCATTTAAAAAGAGAGAAACCAAACTCTTAATAATAAGGAAAATATATTTTTCATTTTAAAATACACAAGTTTGTGTTAGAAACTACCGTGTATTTTGGTGATTTTTTATTTTCTCTCTCTTTCACAGTACTTTTATTTTCTCTTTCTTTCAAATTTTATAGGAGAGAAATATAAAAAATCATCAAATATATATCAAATTAATTTTACTTAAAATGATACAAATTTATATATTTTAAAATTACAAATATTTTTTCAATTTTGTTTTTGTTAAGATAGGATATTATGGTTATATTTTTTATGCATATTTTATCTATTTATTTTCAGTGCCATTAAATCACAATTTTAATTAGGAAAAAATGTCTCTGCTTACAGAAAAAGTATTTTGGCCACGTTCACAAATGAGTGAGTCTTATTCTAAAGAAAAAAGAGAAAAAGATTAGGGAACCTACTCCTTTTATATTACATAAGTGTGGCAGAAAAAAAACATTCTGCATCAAAAATAGAAATTAAACCTTTTTTATTAACCTTCATCTTTTCTCTCATCTTTACATTTTTCTCGATCTAACTCTGTTGATATTGAAAATAAGTAGGTAAAATAATGATAAAAAAAAAAGGTATGCATAATACAATAAAACGTAAGGTCATTTATAAAGTTTTTCCAAAAACAGGACAAGAAGTAAAAATACCTCAATTTACATCAAAAGATTATTTCAGTAAGAGAGAGTGAGAAGTGGGGTGGAAACATACCGGATCTTTGTGAATGGAAGAGTTTCCACAAACTGGCAACGATTCTGCTCGTGAAGAATTGGCGCTGTTTTTGCCGTTTTTGCCCATGTTGTTCAAAGGTGAGAACTTGGAAGAGATTTGGTGGAAACGGTGACGATTTATGGACAGGGGAAGAAGGAACGATGACTTAAGAGTGATGGGTCGTGAAGTTAGCATAACGATTTGCAATTTATATAGGTGGCGGTTCATCTGCCACGCCGCCATTGCTAGCTTGGTTTGCGAGAAGGGAGGAGATAGTGGTTTGTATCTGGCCCCACGTGAATTTGATTCATATCAAATTTAATTACATGACACAAATAATTTCAAATTAATAAATAAAAATGGATTAATTAAAATAAAATATGTAATTACAGAATTTTTCTATTTGAATATATAATTATCTCTCCTAACTCTATCAGTCAAATTCATTTTAAGAAAATTGGAAAATCTATCAAAATTGATTTCATTTCATTTTTTAAAAATAATGATGTATAGTAATCATCTATGAAGTATCGGGACACGTGATTTTTTTAATTTTTTTTTGAAAAATGTGTGCTCGACACCGTTTTGACAAGCGGTTAATATTTTAGAATACATGATCAACACTTCGACACGCATACAATTTGAGATTAATATTTTTCGACACGTAGTCAACGTTTGTGGAAATCCTAATTTTATTTTATTTTATCTTTTTAAAATCAACACTGCAACATGCATACTAATTTGAAATTTGATATAAAATTAATAAGGTAGAAAAAATTATTTTTTATTTATATTTATGTTATGAAATCTGAATATTTAATTGATTATATGACTTATTATGAGCTGTTATATATATATTAAATTTAAACTATATTATATATATTAAAAATATTATTTAATATCAAAACGTATACTAACGTATCAAAATTTAAAATTTTTAAGAATTAACGTATCAGAATATCGTGTCTCAGTGTTCTGAATCGATGCAAGGTAATCATAACATAGATTACTAGTTATTAGGTTATCATAATATAGATTACTAGTTATTAGGTTAAAGGTTGGATAAGAGGAAAAAATTTAAATTAAGACATGTATCATCTTTAACATGTTAGAGATCTTCACACAAAAAATATAATACTAAAATATTCTTTAAATAATAAGTAATATTAAATTTTGTTCCGTTGGTGATAATTTCAGCCAATTAATGGAAATCAATATAGAAAGATTATTGATAATACCAATTGAATTAATGAAGATAATGTTAACAAAATTAATATTGATAAATTTGGGAAGATATTTGGTAATGCTAATCAAATTAGGGGAGATAAGCGTGAGAGGATTGTCGATCCAATTGCAACCATTAATTTAGCTAAAATAAAGGAAAATATATCATTTTATCTTTTTTATTGTAAACTTAAAATATTAATCAATTTAATATATCAATGAATATTTAAAGGAAATGGAAGCCCACCTAACCAAGTAACAAGTTAGGGGGAATAAGTTGATTTGTAAAAAATTTCAAAACTAAAACCACGATAATTTTGTTCTTTTTCTTTCTCTTTTTGTGTGTGTGGAGATATTCTTCTTTTTCTTTTTCTTTCATTTACAATTCTCACGGTAATCTCAATTCAACCTCTTTCAGTCATTTTGTTCTCGGAGTACGGTCCTGAAGACTATCCTCATTAAAATAACAGGTGCATTAAGTTTTGCTATCGGAAGAAGGGTATGATTAATTTCCTATTCTAGAAAGAAGATACATCCTCTGTCTTCTAAAGATTTTTTAAAAATTTATTTGAGGAAGGGTTAAACTTCTTTTCGATTCTACACTAATATCTTATCTTAATAAGATCAACTGAATTTGAAAGACTGATATAAAGTGTAAATAAATGAACTTGGATATTAAAGATAAGATGAAGAGTTTTTGAAGGGAGAGAGAAAGGAAAATTAATATTTATTATTTTTAAATTCAAAAATAATAAATTTTGTTTTAATACGATTTAAGACGACTCACCTTTATGGGATTAGTAATTGGGTCTCTTTATGAGCTTTCTTAGTACGTGGCAGCTTATAATAAGGCTAAGAGACAGTTAAAAATTGGTGCAAGATAATGGGAATAGTAGTCGTTATTAGTAACCAATCTTATTATTTTGTAAGTATGTTGAATTTATATCGGTATAAGAATAACAAATTTTATATTCAATCTTGATTGTTAGTTTGATAAGAATAAAATATCTAATATTACTTTAGAAAACTTCGACTAATGTTCAACGAAACCACGTCATTTTGAGATTAAAAAATTAAAATGATAAACACTATTATAACTCTGGAATATATTAAAAGTACAAATGCACTATAAT